GATGTGACAATGTTGCCATCTCCTGGGTTTTTTATCCATTGTTCTTTTTTTTTGGCTTGGCCAAACAAACTTACAATATGCTTGTATCGTTTTTAAGGGTGCTTGGCTCAACACCGTCAGTATATCATACTGTATCCTGTAACCACATGGAAAGCTTCCATTGCAGATCATCGATAAAATGACAAAAAAATCTGTGGGCCCAATATTTAGCCTTGGGGGACACCTATTTAAATATGTTGAGGAGCAGACTCTTTTGAGTCCATCTTCACACGTTACACTCTTGACTGTAGATTATAAGCAAACAACTCAAAGCTTGTTTAGAGAAACAGGATATCGTGGTCTGTCATTGCAACCGTGACAGTACCTCTGTCCATAGAGCACTTCACATTGTCTACAAAAAACAACCTGTTGTCTTCATGGAGTGTTAATGCCTAAAGCCAAACTGCTCAATGGCACCCCAGATTGGTGCCTCTTGATTTAATAACCACAGCTTTTTTCAACTGATCTGGAAATCTGAAAAGGTTAACAAATTGAGTTAGGAGTTTTGTGACAGGAGATCTACGCTGCCTAATGAAAGGTGTGTTCAAAGTTAAATATATCTTTGGCCTTTAAAATTGACAGCTTACCTCATTTTTCATTAACTTTGGTTTCATCAGCTCTCTGATGTTAAATAAATTGGATAAGTTTTCTATTCTTAGTGATTCAAAGGTGTTAACATTTTTTGATCCCCCGTCACTGACTGACAGAAAAATGTTAAACTTGGATGTATTAAGTGCACCACCTTATTTTAGACCTTTGGCTTCATCTATAAATTGGCAGTAATACGAGCCTTTGCCTCCCTAAATCCCTTATCACTTTATCTTTAAGACTTTAATAAAAAAAATAAATAAATATAAAAAGTCAGTGGACATTTCACTTTTAATTGCTGTCTAAAGAGTGAAATGTCTTTTTTTAAACGTAATTTCTTTCTACAGACACAGTCATATTAAAAGGTGTCTGACCAGAAATTTACACTTAAAGAAGACATTTTTTGCTTATTAATGGTTTACTGCTTACACAGTTATATCCATATCAAACCACATTTATCCACAGAGTGTGTGGGTCGACCAGTCCGCTCTATTTGTAAGCAGCCAGTAACTTAACACTCTTTGTCTAGCATGGTGACGTACCTCTAATATTCAGGGCTGCAAGCCGATTAACTTGACAAACAGATTTTCTTTGCGAAGCTTTGCCCACCCAAAACCACCGTACTGTTTACTGACACTAAATGAATTTATGGGCTTCCAACTCTTTTAATATAGAGGACAGCAAAGTGACAAACTATCAAGGTTTATTGGCAGACAAAAATCCCCATTCAACTTCCACATAAGCCACACGTGTTGATGCATCCTGACATCTGCATCACTAATGTTTCCTTAATTAGAATAACAGCTTTTGTTTTAATAAGCCATCAACACGTGAAATTGTGCAAAAAGGAGAAGGAGAAAAAACCTTGCCGACTGTATGACCATGTGATTGTTTCTGCTTTGGAGCCAGACGCTTTGATGACGTGATCAGCTGCATGTTTCCTACAAGATGAATCTATAGGGAGCCTGAAGACTGACATCTCTCTGAGTAAATGGGTCCATCTGGGGCCATTCACTCTCACTGATTTTAATCCTGAGAGCGTGTTTTTTGTCATCTGAAGTATCCTCATAGATTTGGACTTACAGTGGCAGAATAATAAGCAACATTACTGAGGTTAATTGTATCCTTGTAAAAATAATAATAATAATAATGATCTATGCAGTTTTCTTGAAGTTTTCAGTCTATCTGGATTCTTGTAAACAGAGGTGCGCTCAGAGGGGGGCTAAGGGGGCAATCACCCACTGGTAATGTCTTCAAAGTGCCCCCTCAGTTGACACACGAAGCAGATGAAACATAAATTGCTCCCTCTAGTGTCATTTTTGTGGAAAATATATGGAAATGTATGCTTTCATGGCTACCCTTCCGGTGAATAAATCATAAAAAAGCACACCCAGATGCCATTCCACTGGATTCCTCATTAATCACAGCTCTCTGTGCATTGAGGCCCCAGAGCACATACTACGTGGCTGTTTTTTTTTTTCGCATCTGCCCCTTAAACAGCTCATATATAAATTTTCCCCCTCTCTCTCTCTCTCTCTCTCTCTCGATCGATATATATATATGATTGTATAAGAGCACAGACGAACTGTAGTCCATTCAGAGTTTTAATAGTCGATATAAATGTCCCTGCAGTGCACATGGATAAAAGACATCTAAATGAGTTTGGAGGAAGAGGGAGGACAAAACGATTATTTGGGCCACAGTTTGGTAGGCAGGCTTCATGTGTCAGGCAGTAACAAAGCAGCTTCAGTATTGGTTGACCAGCTGACATTTTTCCTTAACCTCTTCTGTCTGTGTTTTGGGAATGCATTGTGACAGGTGGTGTGAGCTGACTGCTGATGCCTTCGAGGCCACAAAACCTCTCGCTCCAGCTGCACAGGCAGTCAGTGCCATGTGGGAGCTGTGATAAGAACATAAAGATCACTTGCATGAAGTTGACATTAATATTCACACACTCCCCTAAACAGATGCACACATATGCCCATGATGGCCCACCTCTCTTCACCTCACATAATTTGCATTCCTATCCACATTTGTTTTGCCAAAGGATATTTGACAAACACATCATACACCTTGGCTGAACATCTTATAGGGCATGGGACAATATGGATGACAAACCCAATGCACAAAAAGCTGTTGGTTTCCTTTGACAACAGTCTGCTGATAAAAGACACATGCGTTCTCTTGATGCATCAAATACGTAGGAGAGGACTGCGACCACATGTCAGATGACACTGGATGCAACACACAGTCTGTCAATTGACCCATGCCAAAGGACAAAGTCTTTTAAAAGGATCTCAGAACAGAGAAGAAAATGCTCGGTTATTTGTTTTACGAGCAGAAATGGTGTTGCTGTGACTCCTGAAGTCTTCACTAACTGATGTTATTTGATTTAAAGGCTGCCACGCTGCCATGAGCCGTTATCATTAGGACCAGAGAAATGTGATTGATTGAGGTGGTGTGACAGTACAGTGGCTCCTTCTGTTGTTTTCATTTGTCCTCAAACTCAATCTGTCAACACTTCTGCTCAGCAAAAGAGAGTGAAATGTGTCAGATCTGATGCTGTGTAAAAAAAAAAAAAAAAATAAGAAAAATAAGAGAAAACAGATCATCAAATTTCCACTTATAACCTCTTGTTTGTAACACGAATAGGCTATTGTAGGGAGCAGGTTTGATGGTTTTGCAGGCTAATAAAAACACAAAAATTTCCTTGAAAGCTTCTCACATCCCATTTTTATTATAAACGTTTGCAAAAAGAACTGATTTATTGAATGAGTTTTGATTGAATCAATATCCACTTAGTTTTCTAGCTTCTTCTATGATTTTTAGAATTTTCTTATTAGCATTTTGCTCGTTTTTTTTTTTCTTTCATCACATTACACTCGCTTAAAAACCACACTTTGTACACTGAATTGGGCTAATTAATTTTGACAGGGAAATTGACATGATAAAGTTCAAAATAATTATAATATATAAATATACTTTTAAATATATAAAAGTATTATAATCTACAGCAGTGGTTCTCAACTGGTGGGTCCCGACCCAAAGGTGGGTCGCGAACAGCTGGTCAAAAAAGTAAACATTTAATGCGCATCTGATGTTTGACATGTCTTTTATTTTGAAAAATAGCTTATTTTGAAAGGTATGTCTTACCTTATTAATGTGACCTGAATGCAGTAAAAATACTATTTCTTTTTTGTCTTTATTTTGTGCACTTTGATATTTATTCACTTTTGTCCATGCTGTTGCATGGTCCTCCCCAGGTTCTTCTGACTATGCTCTGAATGCAGAGATGCATAAAAGCCAAATTTTTCATTTTTCTGGTCTCCATTTTGTGCAATTTGATATTTTCTGTATATGCAACTTCAGTAGTTGTCGTCCTCAGTTCATGTGCTCTGAAATGCACTTTACTCAATAAAGTGGGTGTATTAACGTTAAAGATCCCAGTCTTTAATTTCTTATTTTATCGAATTTTTTTGGTTTGAATTTTATAAAAGTGGGTCCAGACTTAGGACCATGTGAAAATGTGGGTCCCTGAGTGAGACCAGTTGAGAATCACAGATCTACAGTATTTGACCACTCCTCATGATATTTGCAGTTTTATTTTGAAATGCCTGACCGGAAATGGATAAGCCCCTCGTTTGAATGTTTGGACGAGGACAGGCACGGATTTCATAGGCTTACATACCACGTTGACGGAGGTAGGTGTTATTATTTACTGCACCGTTAGACATAATGTGTGAAATCCACTGTTGTCCCAGTGTATTGAATAGTATGTCACTAAAAGCGTACGACCTGACATTTAACTGACTTTGACCGATTGATAATACAGGAAACAATACAGGAAACATTGTTATTGACTCAGATTAGTCAGTATATGGTCCGACTGTCTTCCAATATGTTTTCTGCACTAGAGAAATGCTATATATTTGCCCACGTGGCACACATGCGGCAGTGATTTTGCTATAAAAACAAAGCGACCAAAAAGAAAACAAAGAAAGCTGTAAAGATAGAGCAGCAAATCTTTACAAGTGTGTCCATTTTTGGGATGAGTTGCTGTTAATATAGATTTCCAGAACAAGTAAGTCAAAGGTGAAACATTATAAAGTAACTGTTTACTGTAAAACTTGCTGTCTTTACTTAAAGTTTTAGACCAGTTACTGAAACTTTCACATGAGAGGAGGTGACTCTGTACTGAATATCCAATCACATCCTGTCATGATACTAGTTTTATAACAGCTGCTACACAAGCAGCATATGGTAACAGGATACATTACCATTTTTTTGCTCCACTTACTCTGCAGGTTCTTCAACTTCCAAGAACTGCACCATTTGCAATCCAAACATTTGTCTTTCTGTCCTTTTCCACAGTAATGGCAGCACAGCATGCCAAACCCAACTTCAGCCAGCCTCAGGTGGCCGAGCTGGTGAAAAGGCTCTTCAGGCTGACGTCGTCAGAAATCCGATCACTCCCGAGCTATGACGACCAGAACTTCTACGTGTCAGCTGTCGAGGGAGGCGAGTACGTTCTGAAGATTATGAACTCAGAGGACAGTAAGAACTCCATCATGATTGAGGTGCAGACATATGCCATGACCTTCCTGCATCAGAATGGGCTTCCTGCTCAAACAGCACTGCCCACCGTCTCAGGACAGCTTATGAGCCTGGAGGAGATGGGTAAGACATCTTTTCATACTGTTATGACCTGAGGGGTAATGCCATGTGGCCCCATGAGTGTTGACATGGTCTTCCAAGGCTGTGAAGACAGATTCAGCCATCTCGCTCCACTGCACCTATAGAAAGTGACGTTTATATAAGAAAAAGGTACAGCAGATAGTGCTTGTCAGCCAGACACCCGTTAAAATACTACTGAATCACTTTAACGTCCATTGAGTTTTAGAAATAGCAGAATATATGCTGAAGGCTTGATGACAAAGGATCCTTTAGACACATACGTTGTAAAAGCATGACAGAACAGATGAAGTGTGCAGTGCAGGTAAATGCAACATGACACTTCTTCGTTCTTTGGTCTGTTTGTGGGAGTTTTCTTTTCATGCTTGAGGCAAGTTTACGTTAGCAGACCTTTTGTGCGTGTCTTTGTCTTTACCTAAATTTTCTCTCATGAGCACACACAAGGAGGTGTTTACTTTGAACGAAGGAAGGATCCGGAGCACATGATGCGTTTAAGCAGTTATATTAGCAAATAGACTGGCGTTTCGACACAACGGGTGTCTTCTTCAGAGTCAACAGAGAGCTGATGAGTGAAGCAGTTTAAATATCCCACCTCCAACCAAATTAGTCTTTAATTGGTGGAGCGGCAAGCTGTAGATCATCAACACCAGCCAATGAGAGGGTACCACAGAAAAATACAACTGTTGAAGGAAACTAATCCCCAGATCATAGTGACCCAACATATAAAATATAAAGCACAACAATCAACAGAGTAGGAAAAGCACTATATACAGAAATCAAGATATATGTGTTTATATATTTACCAAAGAGAAGTAATGCTATTTACAAAAACAAAACAGGTTATTTATTTTCAAGCTTATATTCCACGCTCTGTGACACATAGCATTCGTCAATCCTTTTGTTGTTTTCTTCGAATGTTTCATTTCTCTGATTCTCTACTTCATTGTTTTAAAATTTTTCAGGTTTTATATTGCCCGTCTGATACCTCTGTTATTATCTCAGATTGGTGTCTTTTATTGTGAAATATGTATGTGTGTTGGAACCCACATCTAAAAGAGGCAAATAAAATCCCCAGCAAGGAAGAACGGAGCAAGAAATTTCTGTTTGTCAAATGTTATGTTTATTTGCCCTTGTTAGCGGATGCACCCACTTATGATGTCCTGAATTGAGCCAGTCACATGTAGCTCTCACTCAGTTTTGATGTGACTTGATTTCAGAGGGCACATATATTTCATCTGCCTCTTAAAAGGTGACAAATCAATGATGTAATACATAATCTACCATCAGTTTAAACATGAACAGAAGTTAGCCTCAGGCTAGCTTTGATCTTGTGTAACCAAGTATACCATGACAGATGCGCTCTGTAATCTTGATATACTCATACCCTGGGAATGATAAGCGTGCTGAGCAAGGCCACAGCATACAGGTCACACTTTATGAGCCCTAGAAGAAAGGTTAACGTCTAAAATACTTACCTTGTTCTCACCTTTGACAGATTGTGGTTATGGCAGTCAGAAATACATGGTGCGGCTGTTGACTTATCTACCTGGAACTACAGTTTCCAAGGTTCCTTTAACGCCACAGGTACTGTGTGAAGTTGGCAAGACTGCAGCCAGGATGGATCAAATACTCCAAAAGGTATAAACAGCAAATCCATGTGAAACATTTTATCAGGTAATAAAAAGAAGTTTATGTTTTCAATAACTGTCACTGCGTAACATTTTACTTCTGTTTTTGTTTTGAATTGGAGTCTTGTTGTCTTAGTTTTCAAGTTGATTGAATTATTTGAATCTAATCCCATAAATGTGAAAAAATAAGGGATTATTACAGACCTACTCACCCACAATAAGGCCCATTATTAACTTTAATCTCGCTCTTGTAAAGTTTTGCACAGAAATTCATATAACAACCTTCTTTTCTTTTTAAAAGGAACAACTTAGAATTTTACATATTGCAGATTTAACAAAATAGTGGTTCAGCCCACTTAAGCACTCGCTTTAATTTGCTTTGGGCCTCTCAAAAAACAGCATGGAGGGTCTGGATGAGTATGTTTAACATTTCCCTGCCTCTCTGCTACACAGTTATACATATTAAAATATATTTCCAGATGGAGAACCCTCATCTGAACGTACTACAGAGAGAGAATTTCGTATGGAGTCTGTCGTGTGTCACCATGCTGGAAAGATACCTCAATGTGTTGGATGGAGACCCTCTACAAGACATTGTGAAGTCTGTCATTCATCTGTACAAAACTTCTGTGGTTCCCAAACGATCCAGCCTCCGCCAGTGTAAGTTTTATATTTACTGAATAGATGCTCTTCTGCTGAATAGATGCTATTCTTATTCCATCCTCTGAGTGGATACTGAATTCTTATTGGCCGAAGTGTGTGACTTCTTCTTGATAATTGGACACATAAATAGACTGGCTGAGTGTTTCTCTGCATCAATGCATTGCCTGATTATGTCATGTTCGCTTAAGCGCTAAGCTCTGACATTTAAAACTAAAGCCACTTATTCACCAGCTTTGTAACAGTACTTCAACATAGATGAGGATGTTGCTGTGAAGACAGAAGCTGAAAAATTATGTCATCAGCGCACACTTCACTTTATCTCCCTCTCAGCAACACAAGATGATGTCTGTAACACAGTAAGCTGCAGACAGTGCAGCACCCTCTGACCTGACTGTTACTGTGGATCACTTCAAACATCATCTCACATCCCACTCACTGTTAGATCACTGCTTCAGGCTGTGGTGGACAGTATAATATGTCCAGTCTTGATGCTGTCTTAGGCTCAGGCTCATGGCTAACCAGCTTGCCGGTCTTGTCAAAACATATTTACTCAATGCTAACAGTACACAATGTTATTCACCTTTTATCTTGTTTGCATACCACTGACCATCAGACTCATCGTTTCACAAGCAGAGTGACTCAAGAGGAAGGGCTGTAAATTCATGCCCGGCTGGTGGTGCAGCAGAGACGAGGCGCAATTCAGGTCTGCTGCGCCGATAGGGTGTGTCCAAGCGCACTTTGCCTAATTGGTGAGTGCCGCAGCCCTCGGGTCCCGTGATTTGTCCACCATGAGTTCATGTTGGCATCCACGACATATAGCATGAAGCCATGAAGAATACTGTGTTGATTCAGTCAGGTTGAGTGTGCCGAACACGCTTGCTTTATTATCAACTAAGATATAGATCAGAGTATATTGATATAGAGCAATGAATAGTGGTTGTTGTCGATTATTTATTGCACTGAAATGTGCCTCACACTGTGGAAATCTGTCTGTGAGGTAATGTGACATGTGTGAACTGCGCACCCTCTGCGCCCCTGTATTTGTCAATACACCAGGCTTATTCTGTCGATACCTTCCCCTACTGTGCTGTCAAACCCATTTTGGCACATCTCAGTGGGTCTACCAATTTACCAAACTGGCTGTGCTGCACAAATGTACCTTTACTGTGTGAGGTTTGCCACCAATAAGCACAAAATTAGAGCCCGAAGTCTGTTTTATTGCATTTAAACTCTAGAGATGGAAATGATATGTGTTACTTTTCTGTTCATCTGGTGTTGATAGTGGACACCGTGTTGGATATTGTTGCTTTCATATTCAAACATGTCATAATGGAGCTGGCTATAATGTTTTCTCCTGTCTCTCTCATGCCAATCCATTTAAGTAACAACATTTTCCTTCCTGTTTATTTAAGGCATTAACCACGGTGACTTCAATGACCTCAATGTGCTCGTACAACCCGATGAGAGTGACGGCTACAGGATCTCTGGCATACTTGACTTCGGAGACATGAACAATGGCTACTACATCCACGAGCTGGCTATCACTATAATGTACATGATGACTGAGCACCCTAATCCAGTTGAGGTGGGTGGACCCGTCCTCGCCGGCTGGGAAAGTGTCTTTCCTCTGAATGAAGCTGAGAAAGACTGTCTCTATTTGCTGGTCCTGTGCCGCTTTTGCCAGTCGTTAGTCATGGCCCGTTACTCTGTGACGCTTCATCCAGAAAATAAAGAGTATCTGATGATCACCTCCAGGAAGGGCATCTATATTCTTCAGCAGTTGTGGGAACTTGGGAGGGAGCAGGTGGAGAAGGTGTGGTTTCAGAGTGCTGCTCAGTTTAAGGACAAAAATTAAGAGACGTCCAAGAAAAGAAGTACACAAATGATTGCGCACATTCAGAAGGAGAAATCATTGTGTCCGTGTTTAAAATAATGTAGTTTTCTCTCTGTAAATGAAGTCCAAGACAAAGTAGTGAAACTCATTTGTCTTGTCTTTACAAAAGCAACAACAACCAATTGTCAAAATAGCTAACAATGACAAGATCAAGACCGTATAATGCTTTACTGTATAAGTAATTTATAACTTTTAATGAATAACCAGTCACCTCCAGCAGCCCTCATGACCAGACGTTACACAGAGGAACTGTGTAACAGGTGCTAGAGTCATCAGGGATACGTTATCGTACCTCAACGCTTCACTTCACACTTACAGGTCATTCAGCTGGACTTTGAGTTTATTACAATCATGTTTGTTGAGTCCAAGTGTGCTCAGAGCTGACCCACTAAATCTTTTCTGCTATAAACGTCACACCTGCAAGTAAATGAATTAGAAACTCGCTCAAAATGTCTAAATCTTGTTTGAATAGATTTATGCAACCACAACAAAAAAGGTGACCCAGAGGATTTTTTTTTTAAATGACTGTATTTTAATCACTAGTGTAATTCAGGAGTATTTAATCACAGGTTAGTTAGTCCATTTACAGAAATGTATAGTAGTAAGAGTTCCTCTATACAGGGCTATGGTCAGGATTGTCCATAATTACACAGAAATTAGGTTTTGCTTTCAAGATCTGGAATGGCCGGGTCTTACTTGGTTAGGGTTTAACTTTCATATGGGTGCACTTCAACAGTAAAACCACCTTTTACAGTCCATTGTAAAGGAAGAGACATAAAACAAAATGCAGTGTGTTTTCCATAACTTGTGCTGTGCCTTAAACAAAATGCATCTGGTCGACAGAAATGACCTGCTCATTCTGCCTGTCAAGTCAGTTTTTATCTTTCTGCATGTTTTTTTCTACAATACTGTGGTGCTGGTTGACATTGTGATTTGATAGAAAATCTACCTCACCTTTTACGAGGCGTGCTGAATGATTTTCCCGAGTCTAAATGTGAACCATTTTATACCTTTATACTGGTGCAGTTACATGAATAAACAAATGAACACTTCTTTGAGGTTCAGATCCATAAGAGGTCTCTTCCTTTGGTTCTTTCCACAGAAATGAAACATTACACACTTCAAATGCATTGTGTCACCACCATGTTATATAGAGCTGCAACATGGCTTTCCACTTATCTCCACAACAGTCTGCCATAACTCATCTTACCCCTGTAAATGAACAGAGAGATTATGAGTTAGGAAGGAAGCACTTTGATCTGGGTCATACAGAAACTGGATCACTTACTGGAGTGCAAGTTAAGAAACATGTGAATTCACATGTCAATTTGAATCAAAAAGACAACGACAGGAGTTCACATGTAAAAGGCAGTATGTCAGGAGGTCTATAGCTGTATCAGCATGCATGCTGCTAATCCATTCAGACTGGACTGCACGAGTTCTGCAGCAGTAATGGATTCAGTCTTTTATTGTCATAGATGCTCTATTTTCAAAAGAAACATGAGCTCAGAGAGGACATGTCATGACTTTTTCAATCTATAACTACCATGTATGACTTCAGTGTCACAAGCTTAAGTTTATTTTCTAAAATTGAATCCTTGATATATTCATCCTTTCACTTACAGTTTTATCTGTATTATTTTTTTTGACCAAGGGATCGCTCTTAACTGCTCTGAGAAGTAATTGACTATAATGACTTTGCCGCTGTGTGGTGAAACACATCTAAAATCCTACACTGATTTAAAAAAAAAAGAGGAAACTACTCGTCATAAAAAATCAGCCTGTTTCTATTTTAAAAAAGGACAAAGTTTATTGTTTGTGTTGTTTTATTTCATGCTGATGTCTTACTTAGTTTACAGACTAATCTCTTACAACTCTCAGTTACAGGATGGTAGCTCCTCACACTCATTCAGGACTATTCACTTAGACCTTTTTAAAGGACTTGAGGTAATTTCATCTCACTGTCTGTTGTTTCTGATGTAATACTGCCCTCTTGTGGCTATTATGAGCTCCTACTTAAACCGTTTGCCCAAAGGTCTAAATTTAATAATAAATATTGATGCTGTAGAGGTTTAGTGTGGTCTTGTGTTGAAGTGGCATGATAGATAATAAAATTTTTCCCCCAGAATGTTATAATAGGAACAGCTCATGGGTAGCCTGGCTGGGCCATCCTGTTGCGTGAATCACTTGATGTTCCTTCCTTGTGGTGGGAAGGAACATCAAGTGATTCACGCAACAGGATGGTCCAGCCAGGCTAGCTCATCGGTGTCTTAAAGGTGCCAGGACAGGTTTTGTTTCAGACGTCTATCAATCTTCTCCTTTTACAGTCATGATTTAAATTTTTCTCACTATGCTTCGTCTTATGTTCAAACTAGATTAATCCTATCAGTCAAGTCAAGTTTATTTGTATAGCACATTTCAGCAGCAGGGCAATTCAAGGTGCTTTACATGAAACAAGCAGGCAAAACATTCAACACAACTTGAAAAGTAAAAACAGCGTAAAAGACATTTAACAAATTAAAAGTTACATTTAAAGCTAAAATAAGGTTGGAGATAAAAGAAGACAAAACTTAGATTGGAGAGAGAGAAAAAAAAAAAGCTCAAGACAGGCAAATGATGAAAATGTTGTTTAGAGGCCTCAGGTTTGATTTAATGATAGGCCACGGCAAACATATGGGTTTTCATCTGTGATTTAAAAGAGCTGAGAGTTTCAGCAGACCTACAGTTTTCAGGGAGTTTGTTCCAGATATGAGGAGCATAAAAACTAAAAGCTGCTTCTCCATGTTTACTTCTGACTCTGGGGACAGAGAGCAGACCTGCTCCTGATTATCTGAGCGGTCTGGATGGTTCGTAACGTACCAGCAGGTCAGAAATGTATTTTGGTCCTGAACCATTCAGTGCTTTATAAACCAGTAATAGTATCTTAAAATCAATTCTTTGGCAGACAGGAAGCCAGTGTAAAGATCTGAGAACTGGGGTGATGTGATCTACTTTCTTGGTCTTAGTGAGGACTCGAGCAGCAGCATTCTGAATCAGTTGGAGCTGTCTGATGGATTTTTTGGGGAGACCTGTGAAAACACTGTTACAGTAGTCGAGTCTGCTGAAGATAAATGCATGGACAAGCTTTTCCAAATCCTACTGGGTCATCAGTCCTTTAACCCTTGATATATTCTTCAGGTGGTAGTAGGCTGACTTTGTAATTGTCTTTATGTGGCTGTTAAGATTCAGGTCTGAGTCCATGACAACACCAAGGTTTCTGGCTTGGTTTGTGCTTTTTAACATTATCGATTGAAGCTGAGCGCAGACTTTTAATCGCTCTTCTTCTGCTCCAAATACAATTACTTCAGTTTTATCTTTGTTCAGTTGAAGAAAATTCTGACACATCCAATCATTGATTTGTTCAATGCACTGATGCCAATGCCTGGCGATATGTTTATGTAAATCTGTGTGTCGTCTGCATAATTATGGTAAGATATTTTGTTGTTTGCTATGATTTGAGTTAGAGGGAGCATGTAGATGTTGAATAGGAGTGGCCCCAGAATGGAGCCTTGGGGAACCCCACATGTCATTTTTGTTCGCTCTGATGTGTATTTACCTAGAGACACAAAGTAGTCTCTATCCTTTAGGTAGGATGCAAACCAGTTGTACCAGTACTGTTCCAGAAAGTCCCACCCAGTTTTCCAGTTGATCGAGTAGGATGCTGCGGTCAACCGTGTCGTAAGCAGCACTGAGATCGAGCAATACTAGGACTGAAATTTTGCCATTGTCTGAGTTTAAGTGGATGTCGTTAAAGACTTTGATAAGAGCGGTCTCAGTGCTGTGGTGCAGTCGAAACCCTGAATGGAAAACGTCAAAACAGTTGTTTAGGACTAAGAAGTTGTGAAGCTGTTGGAAGGCTGCTTTTTCAATGATTTTGCTTAAAAACGGGAGGTTCGATATAGGCCTATAATTTTTCATTACTGAGTTGTCTAGGTTGCTTTTTTTGAGAGGCTTTATGACAGCAGTTTTCAGGGCCTGTGGAAAGACACCTAACAGAAGTGACATGTTGACAATCTGTAAAAGGTCTGAGACCATGCAATTAGAAACTGTTTTAAAGAAACCTGTTGGCAGAATATCAAGGCAACAGGTGGAGGAGTTCAGATTTAGTATCATGTCCTCCAGGGTTTTAATGTTGATCGGGTTGAATTGTGTCATGCTACTGGGGTTAGTACGCATGGACAACACATATCCTGTACCGGATATTGAGCTACTGACTGTTTGTCTAATTTTCTGGATTTTGTTATTGAAGAAGGAGGCAAATTCATTACAAGCCTTGGCGGACAGAAATTCAGAGGCTACTGATACTGGAGGGTTTGTTAGCCTGTCGACTGTGGTAAATAGGGCGCGTGCATTATTTTTGTTTTTGGTGATGATGTCTGAGAAGAAGGATCGCCTAGCATTTCTCAGTTCTAGGTTAAAGATACGAAGTCTCTTTTTATAGATCTGATAGTGATCCTGAAGGCTTGTCTTTCGCCATCTGCGTTCGGCTTTCCGACACTCTCTTTTTCAGCTCTAACCAGCGCGGCATTCCTCCATGGAGATCTTTTCTTGCCAGAGACTATTTTCACCTTGGTGGGCGCAATGGCATCCATCGCATTTGTGATTCAAAGGTCTTCTACAAGCTCATTGACCGAGAGCCGTGAGAGAGCTGGGAGAGGAGTCAAAGCCTGATTAAATATTTCACTGGTGTTGTCAGTGATAAGCCGCTTGGTCATTACCTCTGTCTGAGTAGTAGTGAATAGCATAGAGATAGTACTCTCAAAAAATACACAGGAGTGATCAGAGATAGCAACATCAGTAACCATGATTTTGGGTATGTTCAGGCCCAAGTCTAGAGTGTGACCTCTATTGTGTGTGGGCTCTGTTACATGTTGGGTCAAACCATAGTTATCAAGGAGGCAGCACAATTCTTTGGTGCCTCTGTCCTGGGGGTTGTCAACGTGAACGTTAAAATCACCAACAATCACTACACAGTCAAAGTCAATACAGATTATAGACAGCAATTCAGTAAAGTCATCAAAGAAATTCACACAGTATTTAGGAGGTCTGTAGATGTTTAGGAATATTGCTCTAGTAGCAGAGTTCAACTGGAAGGCCACATACTCAAAGGAAGGAAAATTCCCATAATACATCTGTGTACATTGCATTGAGTCCTTGAATAAGATAGCTACTCCACCTCCTTTTCTATGCTTCCTCGTTTCACTCATAAAGCTGAAGTTAGGGGGGGCTGACTCGATAAGAACAGTTGCACTGTTATCTTGTTCTAACCAGGTTTCAGTTAAAAACATTAAGTTGAGATTGTGCTTGATGATAAGTTCGTTGATTAAGAATGATTTTCCAGCTAAAGATCTGACATTTAAAAGAGCTGAGTGTAGTGTGCTAGAGAAATTATCTGTATTGTTTTTCATGATGGGCTGATGGGGGATGGAGGCTAAGTTTGATAAATTCTTAGTTAGGTACCTTCTGTTCCTAGGCAGATTAGTATGTCTATTACTTATTATGACGAGGCGTCTCTTTGTCAAGGCCGTGGTGTTTTATCTCATGTCTTTTTGCCTCTTGTCTCTTGTCCTTGACAGATGGATGACGCAGGGAGTGATACAGGTTGGAGGTGAATAGTTTCACTCCAGCTTTGTTTAGAGAGAGTCCGTCTGCTCTGAAGTAATGCCTGCGGTCCCAGAACAGCCTGAAGTTATCAATAAAGTTGACTTTGGTACAGGCAGTAGATAGCCATCGATTCAGGGCAAACAGTCTGTAAATCTCATATCTCCTCTTTTGATTGGTGGAAGGGGGCCACTGATGAATACCTAAGCATTCAGGGAGCTGACTGTTTTTAATAGTGCACTGAAATCACGTTTTAGTTTTTCAGATTGTTCTGTTACAATGTCATTAGCTCCACAGTGAATCACAATAGCTGTCAGAGAGGGATATGGGGCCACTATATCCTGAATTTTGCCTGTTATGTCACAGACCATATCCTTGGGGAAGCAGAGCACTTTGCTATTTTTGCTCATGTTTTTTATATCTTTTATAGCAGAATCACCCACAATCAATGTTTGAGGTTCCCCGTTTTTTGATTTTCTCTCGGATCTTACCCTGCTATGCGGAGATGAGGATCCAGGATTCCGTAACAGTGGAGCAAATCTGTTGTGCAGTGGGAGGGATGGCTGCTGCGGGGGGAGATTGTTTTTGATTTTAGGGCCTCCTTTGGCAGCTATCCACGGCTGCTTCTTACGCTGGACAGGTGTTGAAGATAGTTTAGGCCAGCCAGTCTCATCACAGATCTCAGGGCGCTGGGCTCTGCTTGTTACTCCCAAATTCCAGTGAGATGATTTGGGTTTAGCACCGAGGGAATCCGAAGAAGAGGCATTGGAGGATCCGTAGTCTTCTTGGTCGATAGTGATCAGCTGTGTGTGATGGTCCTGGTCACAAGATGTTGTTTTATTCCCGCATCGTCCGTTTCTATCCGCATTTGCTTCTAACCGGTTGATTTTGGTCTCTAGCACTGCAATTTTCTGAAGCAGTTTGTGGTAATCATCCGTGCTGAAGGGGGGCATCTTGGTGCTGGTTAGCTGTATTATCCAGTCACTCGGTAAAGTAAAAAGTACAGTAAAAGGCACAAAAATGATTTTAAAAATCTTGGTTTACTTAAGAAGAAATGATTAAAGCTCAAGCAGCAGGAGCAAGCAGAGAGACGTCTGCACAGCAGGAGAAGCAGGAAGCAAGAGAATTAATTCAACTGCTCGGCCTTTTCAAAATCCTTCATATTTTAAAACCATCAACAGTTCAAAGATCTTGTAATATTGTGTCACATTTCACAGTGCTCCACATTTTACTACTATACATTTCTATTGCTGTGGATAAATACACTGGACACATTTCAAGTTTGTTCAAGAAACAACTCCAGTCTACACTTTGCCTGAGGAGGGTCTTTATGAGTGGAGATTCTGGTCCAACTGGATTCTCCACAGACTGGTGGTATAAAGAGGATGGATGGTCTTGAGGAAAACATTCTTGACTGTTATTGTCTCAACTCCTCCTGAACGCTATCCACAGAGACCATGGGTGAGTGCACAAACATTTTAATATATCTCATTATTTTAAGCATTGTGTTGACAGTATATCTGTGGAGTATGAGGAGTTGCTTTATTTTGATCATTTTTAAAACTTTTGTAAAACTGTGAAATGCTGCTTAGAGGTTAAGTGAATAAAACAACAGAGTATAATGAAAAGAGCTAAAGCCCCTTTTGCTGGTCATGAAAAGGACTGACATTCACACGGATGCCTGAAAAATTAAACATAAGAAGGACTGACAATTTCTTTTTTAGTGATTTTTAGTGCATCTAACCACTGCTGTGGAGTAGGTGTCAACCAAGTGAGTACTTTCCACAGCAAAAATTTAAGTTTAGTTTGAAAACATCCAGTTGAAAGTTAATCAACTGAGAATTAAGTTATTGAAAATATGTAATTTTATTTGTGGATATAGGAAGCTTTGTTTGATAAAATCGTAGGTTCATGTCTTCTACCAATGTACTGAGCATGTTGATCCTGTTTCTGAAATAGTCACTAAATTTTGTCTTTTATAAAAAAGTAACCCCAAATTTGCAATGTCTGAAAATGTCATTTAATTACTTTTTGTTTAATTAAGCATTTATGGATTTCAAGTCATTGTTTTGAATTTAATTCATTTGAGTAGAAGTTAAATAACTTAACACGTTCAAAAAGTTTTTTTTTCTTTTCTACCTGATGCAGAAAAAAAACGAGTCAGAGGCAACAATCCCAGCTCGTGTCTGAGATTTTGTCTTGGGGCAACTATTTTAATCAGTAATTAAGGACATAAAAAAAATATTTAAGTGAACTGAAGTTGTTTTAAAATGTGAGATGTAGGTACATTTTGACTTGACTTGACTTGACTTGTCATTTTATCTTGGTGTGCAGATGCATCAACCGTCAGCCCAAGGCCATCATTCAGCCTACAGCAAGCAATCAAGATGACATACATGCATTATGGAGTCATTGTGACTGAGATCTCCACTTTGCCAAGCTACTTTGACCAGAACTTCCTCATGGTGGACAAAGAAGGTAAAAAGTATGTCCTGAAGATCATGAACTCAGAGGAGAGTAAGAACACCACCCTGCTGGGGCTGCAGACCTTCGCCATGTCCTTTCTAAGCTGGCACAGAGTTCCTGCTCAAACAGCTCTCCCCACCAAAACAGGGCAGCTCATGACTCTGGAGGAAGCAGGTGATAACAGATTTTTGTTGTAGTTTGTTTCTACCAGTTAATCTTAAGAGCATTTTCATAATCAGACTATTGGCAAACCTAATGGCTGAGATGGACCAATCATTTATAGAGGAAAGTTTTAGTTAATCACTCTGACAAAACAACAGGCAAAGTTGATTTTTCTGCTTTTCTGTCTTTTGTCCTGATAAGAATTGAACTTGAAAAGATGTTGTGCTGCTACCCTGGACTTTAAAAGGCACGTATGTTTTTGCTGGAAAACAGTGATGGCCTCAGGCAAAACTAAAAGAGGCCACAGATTAAGCACATGTGGAATTTCTGCTCATGCACACACCTGTTTAAGGGTCGTGGCGTTCAACTTCACTTGTATCCTGTTAAGTTTATTTGTTTAGACTTTGTTTTGACCTAAGATAGAGTTTAAAGTTATAATGCACACAGATTAGTGTAAGGTTAAAAGCTGCTTTGATGAAAGATCTTTTCAAGCACTGACTATTGATTCAAGTTTAGGAAGGAATAAATTGAGCTCTCAGAGAGACCTGACCGTTAACTCAATGGGACGTGAAAAAGGCCTGATGGATTTTGCAAGTTAAGCAAAGACTGCACAACATGCAGTTATGTTGTCATTTTCGGATGCTGTTTTTGCTGTGGGCAATGGCCTGGAGAAATTCAATCAGACTGGCAATGCAGGAATGCTCACAACATGACAGACCAGATCTCAGGTCCTACCGGTTAAAAACGGCTTTTAGGGAACAAGGAAATAAATCCTTGAGGGTTTTAAATCTTTTTCATTTAGATGAACTTAATGCTGATTGATTTTATTTTAAAAGCTGAGGTATAAAGCTACAAAAATCATATTTTATCTGCCTTTCTTGTGTTAGACAACGGACACAGTCCCCAGACTTACTGTGTGAGGTTGATGACCTATCTCCCAGGACAAACCATCGCAAAATCTCCAGTCAAAACACAAGATCTCTATTATGTTGGCAAGCTGGTCGCCACCATCGACATGACATTGCAACAGGTAAGGTCAAAAGTCAAACTCATCATCATGTTTTAGCTTAAACCCATCTGCTGCATACGGATGATGCAGACGCACTTATGCAAATACTTCATGTTGTGTTTTGACAGGTCCTGTTCGCCACATTCTCTATAACAGCTGTTATCTGACAGACGTGTGAATGAGGCTGACTATGTTGACAACAAAATGTCTATTTAGTTTAAAAGTGTCAAGAATTTGTGTGTAATAAAACAACAACAAAATACTGAAATACTGAAACTTTTTTCAGCTGGTGTCCCCAAACCTGGATGTCCTAAAAAAGGATGGAGAACTCTGGAGTTTTCCCAATTTTCATCTCCTGGAGGGTTACCTGTCGGTGATGGATGGAGATCCCCTGCAGGATATCGTCAAAGCAGTCCTAGACCAGTATAAATCGAATGTGCAGCCCAAAATCAGCTCTTTCCAAAAAGGTAACAGAAGCTCCATGTTCCTCTGGATCTGTTTTCTTTTTATTCAATGTTCAATCAATCCATTCTAATTTATAACCCCAAATTACAACAAATGCTGTCTTTTATAGACAATCATTAAGTGTCTTTATATCATCATCAAGATATCAAAATAACTATCTCATCCTGTCTTATGATTAGATTTTATCTTGTCCAAGTACACCACAAGAGGAGCTCTTTATAGCATTTGACATGTTGTAGTGTCCAGGAAAAACATTATTTTGGAGGCAGAAACCTCGAGCAGAACTAGATTCATGTTGGCCAACCATCTGCCCTGCCCGTGCTGGAAATGTAAGACTTTGTTTATGATAATTCTTGTTCAGTTAAATTATTTTTTTTCAGCAGACAGTTAAACCACCACCAATATACTTTAGGATTTCTGTTATCCTGGATTATTTATTACTTATTATCTACCTTATTTATTGTAAGGTTTATGGCAGCACTTCTGCAGTTTCTCCCTTTTTTATATTTTTTTACCTGGGCATTAATAAATTTGCATAATTCATATCTTCCAAAGGAGTATATGAATAGGATTTGTACATGTGCAAACATAGATGTTTATTTCTGGGATTCATAAAAACATGGAAAAATAGAAATAAAAGAAAACTACAACTGTACATAGAGACAAAAAGAGAAAACATAGAGCCAATGTGATCTTAATTTTCTTTACATGTCTTCATTTATTCATGTATACTTAAATTATTAATATCATAATTATTGTTAGTATAATCATTATAACTTTTGTGATCAAGAAAAATAATAACAACAGTGAAAAAACTCCATGTCTCTGTCCTTACCACGTGTTTCTAACAATGTCAGTTTAAAAGTACATACTAAATTTCTAAAATCAATACACCAAAGAAACATGCAGCATAAATGCAACAAAAATACCTTCATATGCAGTGGTAGTGGTCCAGTCCTGTAGGGGTGCTTGTTGGAGCAGCTTCATTCTGGACAGGAGGGACACCAGGTGCAGAATTTGTTCATTAGTAGACTTGATAGTTCTAGATCAGTTGTTCTCGATTGGTCGAGCCTCAGAACCCTCCACCACCTGCTCAATGACGACTGGGATCCAAATTTAGAACATTTGTTTTGTGAAGGTGGGTGATAACCAGCCATCTTTTTTCAACAACAAATGGGCCATTTTTATTGATGTCCTGGCTACCCAGGGCGTCATTACGCTGTCCTGAGTTATCTGCAGATATTTTATCTCACGCTACTGGGATGGAGAAAAAATTGGTCATGGCTTCATGTCTTGACTTTGGCAGTAACTTTAGGAGCAATATTCTAAATATAAGGAGAGAGTACTCTTGCATATGCACAAATGATAGGTATCTTAAGATAATCAAAGATCTGTGATTTATCTATAGAGAATAATAGGACAGTGGAATTACTTCACCCAAGTGCACAGAATATTAATACAGTTTTACCCCTACTTTACATCCTTGATTTCTTCTTCGCAGGAATAATTCACGGGGACTTGAGTGACCAGAACATCCTTGTCACACCTGATGACAGCGGGCATCATGTGGTTTCAGGCGTCCTTGACTTTTCTATGCTCATGAACGGATGTCTTGTGTTTGAACTGGCAATATCCATCATGTATTTGATGCTGGAGGACCCCCATCCATTGGATGTAGGTGGAGCAGTGCTGGCAGGCTGGGAGAGCATCATGCTGCTCAACAGTGATGAGAAGGATTCCCTCTTCCTGCTGGTGCTTGCTCGTCTCTGCCAGTCTCTGGTTTATGGAAGGTACAATGCCAGAAAATACCCAGACAACCAGGAGTATCTTCTGACTACTGCCAAAAGCGGGTCCAGGCTTCTCTTCCAACTCTGGGAGATGGGCAAAAGAGAAGTAGAGAGGAAATGGTTCACCGACGCAACCATGTATGAAGACAAGATATAAAAAAAATGTTTTTTAAGAGATTTTTAACTACAAATTACCCAAATATTTCAAGGTGTTAGCAAAAACAAGCCCAGGTAAAGCAGGTTAAAAAATGTGTCTGTTTGTGTTCATACATGCTGCCAACCTTCACATTTCTGGTTATTTTCTGGAGGTATGTGGATGTGTGAATACATGTTGTGGGAATTTATCATTGTGCTGTGATTGGAAAGTTGTCTAAATAAATTATTTTACACATCTGAGACCGAAAATATGTAAATGACTTCACATAACTAACAAAACCAGTCTTGTCCATTTTAAAATATGAACAATCTTAAAATGATACCTAAAAAAATCAAAGCAGAATAAGACAAGCCATCAAAGGATGCCAACATAGTGAGGGCAACACTATGTAAGTATTTTCATGCCATTAGACACTGTTAAACACCTTTTTTAAGTTATGGTTCAAGGTTCAGCCAAAAAATAGAAATTAAAAACTCTTTAACTGGACCTTATTTTTTCAGCTTGTTCGGTACAAAATAGCCAAAGTGGAAAGAAAAGCAATGGAGAGCTGTGATAGTGATAAATACAACCCTAAAAATCTAATTTTATCAAATATGCAGGGCCTGTGAAAAGAGGCTACACCATGAGTAATGTGGTCACATGTGGTCACATTTTGGTTCTGGTTAAAGCCTGGCAGCTGAGTTTACCAGATGATGTTTTATGTGCACGGAATAGAGTGAGATTTTCCAATGTACTTGTAAATGATCTCAGCCTGTAGCCTACTTAATTCTCTGCTGTCATGAGCAACAAGCAGGGAACCAGAGACAATCGTATTAACACAGCTACACACACGCATGAAATAACAACTGTTTGTTTATTTTTAATACATTTTGTTTCATCTTATATGGCCTATTTTAGCCGTAAGGTTACATGTTAACCCAATGAGCTGTACAAAATCCTTAAAATGATACTTCAAGTCATACTAATAATTAGGAACATGGTGCCTCTGCGCTTTGGGATCTGACATAGTTTGATGATCAGTCTCCTCATTTAAAAAAATGACTTTTATATGATAAGTACTTATCAATTTTCACCTACACGTGTGTTTAAGTGACATTTTAAACTAAAATGGTACAGACGAGACTTTGCTTGACCACAAGAAATAGGAGTCTGTGTGTTTCCAGTCAAATATTGGTTTAATGCTGAGCTTGATTGAAAGAGGCTTAAGGAGCATAAGTCATCAGAATGTTTTGTTTTTGGTATATAAAACAAATTTTACTTGAAGTATTGTTTTTACCTCCATCTAAGGTTGTTCTCACTCTTTATATCTTTCTTGAGTATCTAATGCTGAGCATGCTGCAGAGATGAAGTCAGAGGCACATAAAACAGAAATGCTTCCAGGCTGTCTCTGTCTTCCAGCCCACTTCAGTAGGAAGAACTGATCTTAAAGCAAAAGTCTCACGTTCAAATATGCTAATTGCCCATGCTGCCTTCACGTGTCACCTGTGTGCCTCAAACACCAGGTACGGTACTAAAATTTTGCATTCACATTTTATGATATCCTCATTTGATGCCCTAAAGTCATGTCTTGATTATTACTCTAGTTTTATTGACATTTTTTGTCAGTTATGTAATAGTTTTTTTAGAGCTGCATTAATAAGCCTATCCTACTCTGAAGATATCTTAAAGAGACATGGAAGCTGCACCCAGTTTTCTCCGAGGCACGCCAGTAGTCTGTTTCTGGGTTTCACAAATGGCGGACACTCCTCGTCGACACAGGTAGGTAGGCGTCACGTACTGGTAAAATATCAAGCCTTATGTTATAGTTTGTTAAATAGAGCGATGAAAGCACCTTGCTCTTTACACGGTAACAGATGTGGACTAGTTCATGAAACAGGAGAGTTTTTCTTAAAGAGATAAAACGTGTCACAGGTTTGAAAACTTCAGGATTGTTATTGTCGCTAACTCTCGTTTATCAAACAGCCTTCATGTCCTCGCAGGTATTATGGGATGTCATCCCTGTTTTGACGCACAAAGTTAATGACAAAGGAAAAAAAAAATGTAAAAGCTGTTTCCTTCTAACATGTTGGCTACAGAAGATGAATCTATGAAAAGTGTCAGCAACCCAGAGAAACGGCTCAAATAATGTGCCAACATGCAGTAAGGGGATTATATCCAGACCTGTGTTAAAGTTGGGTATCATAACAGAACAAAATGATGTTGAGTTCTTGAAATTTTGGGAATTTTGTTAAAAGTCACGTTTGTGAAGCCAATCTTTACAAATCTGAGTCTTTTTTTTAATTTGTTATCCACTTAAACCAGCCTTAACAACAAAAGAATTGTGAATTAAAGGAAAAAAAAGTCCTTTCTGCAAAGGCTCGAGCAGAACTCAGCTTGCTGTAAATATATTTTGCGAGTTGTGCCTCAAAGTTATTCTGTAATTTTCGAAATCATTTACAATAATACAGAATATTCAACATTACTCAACTTTACTGGAAATGCACTGTTGCTTGAACATGCCCAAATATTCTTGTGCTGTTGTGTTGTGGTTCACCACCATACAATCTCAGTTTTGCCCTGCAGCTCTGTGGAAATTCCACCATCTTGTGACATACATCACCTAGTGATGCAACCTGGACACATCATCAGTGATGTTACCTGGGATCATCGAGTGTTTCGGGTCTTTCAAGCATCATACACTCTCCTCCAGGCGACCCAGCCGGGGGTGATCAATCCCCAGCTTGTGTCCAGTTAATGCTACCCTACCCACGGGTCTCCTCTCCTGATCCACAGCCACCGTGAGGCAACCTCTGCTGCCTCCGTGGCCTCCTTGATGGCCCTTTGCTTTCTAGGTCCTGTGATGCCCAGCATGCTATAGACTCTGCAGAGGGACTGGCCTGCGAACCCTCTGCATCCCACCTCGATGGGCTCACATCTTGCCCGCCACCCATTGAGCCTACATTCCTCCACCAGACCCTGGTATTTGGCCCTCTTCCTCTCGTTGGCCTCCTCGATTCGGTCTTCCCATGGTACTGTGAGCTCCAGCAGCACGACCTGCTTGGAGGATGTTGAGATCAGTACCACGTCTGGCCTCAGCGATGTTGTGGCCACATTCTTTGGGAATACCAGTTGTTCCCCGAGGTCAACTTTCAGCTCCCAGTCTTGAGCCGTTGCTAGCAGGCCAGAGGAGGTGGTCCTGACAGCAGCTGGTGGTTTCTCCCCGGCTCTGATGAAGGAGATGGACTTCCTTGTTGGGCGCAGGTGCTTGCAGTGGGCAATTCCATTGCAGATGGTGTTTGCTATGGCCTTCAAAACCTGGTCGTGGCGCCAGCGGTAGCGCCCCTCACTCAGGCCTTTTGGACAGCAGCTCAGGATGTGCTCCAGGGTCCCTCTCTTCTGACACAGTGCACAGGCAGGCGACTCAACCTTTCCCCAGCAGAATAAATTAGACGGGCTCAGCAGTACGTCGTAGACGGCCTGGATGAGGAATTTAATGCGCTGGGGCTCAGCTTTCCAAAGCTCAGTCCAAGTGACTTTGCGCTCTGCCGCCTGCTCCCAACGCATCCAGGCTCCCTGCTGCCGCATTCCAACCATCCTGCTGGTTCTCTCTTCCTCCACTGCTGCTCGCACCTCTCCCTGGAGCAGTGCCCTCCTGTCCTTCCCCTTAGCCTTGTCGTAGCGAGGTGTTGCACCGCTACCTAGGCCTGCTCTTCCCCGGGCCGCCGTCCCCACCAACACCCTGTGCTGCAGCCGTGACTCTGCAGCATCCACGGCCTCTGCTGCCCTCCACTTCCGCCCCGTCCTGACTTCGATCCCGGCTTGAGAGACTTTTGGGTCGCTTGACTCTCTGTACTGCAGCACCTCTCTAGTACGGCTCACCTTGAACTCTTCATTCAGGCTGCTGATCGGTAGCTTCAGCATGTTGTTTTTCCCGTATAGTGCGATGCTGCTGAGGCTTCGAGGCAGTCCCAGCCACTTCCTTAGGAACTTGCTGACTCTCCTCTCGAAGCTCTCAATTGTAGAGATTGGGATCTCATACACCAATAAACCATAAATACTCCATGAAAGGATTCAGAGATCGGCATGATGAAAGCTCAGTTTTATTGTCTTGAATTGTGCCAGGACTTGACATGACATGACATGTCATTTTGACGTACAGTAGGATATTGTCTTCAGTGTTGAGGAACTTGTATTTGTTTCACAATTACAAAAAACTACAAAAGCAATTAATGCTTTAAATTTAGAGAAACATGGCATAACTTTGGGTTCAAAAACATATCAGCCATCAGCTAATGTTTGCGTGTGGTTTACTTTATTGGCCTAATCATTGATAAGGGATTGTAATCTGAAAAAGATCTTAAAATGATGTTTCCATGATTCCAGTGTGTTGTTTTCCTTCAGCAATAATGGCAGCACAGCAGGTCAAGCCGAAGATCAGCCAGCCTCAGGCGGTTGAGTTGGTGAAAAGGCTCTTCAGACTGACACCATCAGAAATCCGCTCACTCCCGAGCTATGATGACCAGAACTTCTTCGTGGCAGTGGCGGGGGAAGGCGAATACGTCCTGAAGATAACAAACTCAAAGGACAGTAAGAACTCCAACATGGTTGAGGTGCAGACATATGCCATGACCTTCCTGCATCAGCATGGGCTTCCTGTCCAATCAGTAATACCCACCATCTCAGGACAGCTCATGAGTCTGGAAGAGATGGGTAAGACATAGGTGATGTAAAATCAATCTCAGCACCCTTAAAATGACCACAATAAAAGCTGGTATATCCCAACCAGATTTCTCAAATCTGACATGTGATGTGTAAATAACGTATAATTTTTCATGTATGTGTTTATATTAACATCATACCTGTATCTCTCCACCCCCCTCACTTTTTTCCATACAAAAGTCTTGTGCTTAAATTATCATATTCTCATCTTTGACAGATTGCGGTTATGGTAGTCAGAAGTACCTGGTGCGGCTGCTGACTTATCTGCCCGGAATTACAATTTCCAAGGCTCCTTTAACACCGCAGTTAATGTATGAAGCTGGCAAGACTGCAGCCAGGATGGACCAAATACTTCAAAAGGTATAAACTGTAGAAACTTTCTAAAACTTTCCATTTTACAACTGTCTGAAATTACTGTTTTTAGTACTGTTATGTGACATTTTACCTCTGGTGTTGTCTTTTTTTTGCTACTTTGTTGTCATCTTTTAATCGTTAGAAAGGTATTCAGTAAATGTGTAAAAAAAAAGATGATGTCAGACCTACATGACCGGCCGTCCCTGGAGGCATTGCAACTTTACCAAATGACATCTAGTGGCCTAGCTCCTTAGCACTTTCCCCTTTTTTGTGTCTGCCCCCTGAAGAAAAGGATTGAAAACCTTAGCTGAGTCCCTATACTGAGCATTAAAGTGGACTTCTTCAATAGCAAAACATTTCCATTCAAAACAGCAAAGATTAAGTGTTTACATATGTTTTGTATTCATTCTTCTACATTTATTTATATTTTCCAGATGGTGCACCCTCATCTGAATGCACTACAGAGAGAGAATTTCCTATGGAGTCTGTCAAGTACTCCACTCCTGGAAAGATATGTTCATGTGCTGGATGAGGAACCTCTACAGGAAATTGTGAAGTCTGTCATTCGTCAGTACAAAACTTCTGTGGTCCCTAAACTATCCAGTTTCCGCAAGTGTACGTTTAATATTTACTTATTCGATACTCCTCTCATACAGACTGATTCTTTCCTCTTTGTGAATACTCTGTTCTGATTGGCTGTTGTTTTTGCTTCATTCCGTCTTGCCAATAATGAAATGCAAATTTTTTGAAAATGCCCAAAACTTTTGAAATTTTGCATGTGTGTTTGGCCTGGTGAAAATTTGGTCTCTTGTAAAAATATTGCAAAAAAAAAAAAAATCTTGAAATTATCCCCTTAAGCCCACTTTTATGGCTTACTTTCACCTACATGTGTGGCCTTTGCAAAGTAAATTTGTGCCATCAAGCCCTACAAAAAAGTCCCTTGCACCCATGCCCTAAACCCAACAGAAGTCAGCAGTTTAGAGTTGAATGTCAAAATTGGCCCCATTTTTGTTGTCAAAAGCTTTCAAACTCATCGATCAGTGTGGCCATGACCAGCCCTCGGAGATACGTGTTTTGTCATCATTTTTAATCTAAGCCATGCACGCTCCAATCTGACCTGAATGCATCACACATAATGAGGGTCCAAACCTGAATGTGTTCATATGGCAATATTTCCTCCTTGTCATTGCACTTTTCAGTGGCAGCAGGAAATGTCATGCTTTTTTCTATGACTTGTAGTTCCAATATTGTCAAACATTTCTGCTTTATTTTTGCCCAGGATAACTTTGAGATGTTGATCTTAACGTGTGCCAAAAAGTGTGACTTTTCACCAGAGGATGTGCTTTTTTTTTCAAGGCATTAACCACGGTGACCTCAATGATCTTAATGTGCTTGTGCAACCTGATGGGAGTGATGGCTACAGGATCTCTGGCATCATCGACTTCGGGGACATGTACAGTGGCTACTACGTCCATGAGCTGGCCATGGTCATTACATGCATGATGATAGAGCACCCTTATCCCATTGAGGCAGGTGGACCCGTCCTCGCCGGCTGGGAAAGTGTCCTTCCCTTGAACGAGGCTGAGAAAGACTGTCTCTATGTGCTGCTGCTGTGCCGCTTTTGCCAGTTGTTGGTTTTGGTCCGGCATTTTCTGACATTGTATCCAGACAATGTAGAGTATCTGATGATCATACCCAAAAAGGTAATTCACATTCTCCCTCAGATGTGGGAACTTGGCAAGGAGCATGTGGAGAAGGTGTGGTTTCAGAGTGCTGCTCAGTTCAGAGGCCAAGATTGAGGGAAATCTAATAGAAGCAGTTTACAAATGGCAGCTTTCACTGACTAGAAATTACATCAAGAAAATGGCTTCACAGATGCCAAAAGTTATCAGGGATAAAAGAAGTCCTCCTGCCTTTATGATTTCAAGGAATTTTGTTGCACTTTTAATTAATTTAATTACATGTTTGATGAGGACAAGAATGGGTGTGCTGAAAGTGGATGACTTTTAACAACTCTGTGCCTGCATCATACTTGTAAGTTTCACTCATTATCACTTACTCATAGTTCATGAATCACATTTAAATGGATGCAAGCAACTACAATAAAAGTTGTTCACAAGACAGGAAAGGATAAAAAGAAATCAGCCGTTTGGCACAAAGTATAACATTTGGGACGAGCCACATTTCTTGTTGATAGTTATGCAGTGCACAATCTGGGTGCTTAGAGAGGCCCAGCGTGCAGAAAGATTAGATCCAGACCGCTGACTACTGAAAAGTGTGTCTTTGGCATAACAAATCACTGTCTGCTCTCAGCCCTGCTAAGGTGTAGGAGCACAGCTGGCTATTTAGGTGGCAGATTCCAGCTTTCTAATTAAATACTCGGGCCTTAAGTTGGCACATATATATATATCTCCTTTAATATTGGCTGTAGTCTACCAAAATTTAGGTGAAGTAAGCATTTCCAACATGATGTCCACCTTTGGTAGGCTTCAAAACTCTATATAAACCAATGAGTGATCACTGAGGCTACATCTATGTTTTATCTCTGCCTGTTGTTTAGTCTACCAAAATTTAAGTGAAGTAAGCATTTTCAACATGATGTCCACCTTTGGTAGGCTTCAAAACTCTATACAAACCAATGAGTGATCACTGAGGCTACATCTATGTTTTATACGATCAATGGTTGTAGCATTTCAGATTCTGCCTCCAAAGACATATTTTCCTTTGGTTCTCTTAATAGACTCAAGTTAGACAGCATTACACACTTGAAATGCACACTGTAATAATGTTATATTACGTACTTTCTATGATTTTCTGCTTATCTATCTGACAGTTTGTTATAGCTCATCTAACTCCTGCGACTGAAAGAAGAGATCATGAGACTCTGAGCTGGTGCATACAGAAATTGGATCAATGTCTGCAGCAGTCTCAGCATGCATGCTGATGATCCAGTAAGGCTGAACACAGCTGTGGTTTTGAGAACATTTCAGATTCTGCCTCCAAAGACATATTTTCCTTTGGTTCTCTTAACAGACTCATCCATGAAGTTATGATGCTTCTCATCGTAACACAGTATAACTTGACTAAATCACTGCTTTATCACTAGCCACGTTTACATGCAGACTTTTTTCTCATTCGGATTATAATCATTCCGATTGAAGCTCCCAGGCGAACTGTTTACATGGAAGCGATCTATTCTGATCTGGTGTTTACATGTGCCACGGCATTCAATCGGAACAGCTATTAACAGACATGTGATACCTTCAAACATCACGTGATGTTGTCACATGATGTCCCACCATGTGAGTCATACGTCACTGCTTGTTTACATCAGGACAGAGCATGCGCAGACAGAACCCAGCCTGACAACTTTCCGATTCACCGTTTACATGACAGGATTTTGCTTTTAATCGGAATGGGAAAAGGAATATTCTACCCCTGTGAATCGGAATGAAATTCCATTCGGAATGGGCCTGTTTATTCCGAATGAGGTGTTTATATGGAGCATTTTCATTCCGATTGGGCTTCTATTCCGATTCTATTCGGAATATTTGGCTCCATGTAAACGTAGCTATTGACTTGAAGTCTGTGCATGAAGCAAATCTGTTTTTTTTGGAACTGAGCTAACTAACTATCTGTTATAATCCAAAGAAAATAAATATATTCAGCCAAAAACTGTGAACAATTTAAAAATCCCTCAAGGCTTACTTTTCATTATGTTTGTCAAAACAATGCGTTTGTTTTGCTCCATTATTTGCAGAAGTCCTACCCGGTTTACCACACTAACGTATCTCTATCACAAATCCCACTTAAATCTTTATAGCTCCACTAGATGACACACTTACAACCAGATTAAATAAACACAAATTATTTATTTTGATCTTAAAAGACATGTAATGGACTTGAGAATCAACATCCGAGCTGACAGGAAAGAATTATGGAGTCACTGTGACTGAGATCTCCACTTTGCCAAGCTACATAGACCAGAACTTTTTCGTGATGGATGAGGAAGGTACAAAGTTTGTCCTGAAGATCATAAAATCAAAAGAGAGTAAGAATACCACCCTGCTGCAGCTGCAGATCTTTACCATGTCCTTTCTATGCTGGCATGTAGCTCCTGCTCAAACATCTCCTCCCACCAAAACAGGACAGCTCATGACTCTGGAGGAAACAGGAAATGGCAGATTATTGATTAATTCCAGCTTTAATAATGTTTTAAACAGATGGCATCAGAATATGATGTTATTAAAAAAACGAGTAAATCCTGGCATCTGTGGTTACAGCTGGTATTTTTAAATGTGTTGACATAGACCGATTGTTTTATTGGAAAAAAAAGTTTTAATGAGTTACACAGGAAAAAAACAACAATATCAACAAACAAAGTTAATATCTTACTTTCAACTTTACAGTCTTCTGCCATGGTGAAAAATGTTGAAATGTGTGTTTTTGCCTGAGAACCGTGATTACCTCAGGTAATATGGGGCTGAAACAGACAAGAATCAATCACTTGTAGAACCTCAGGTGATGATTTGCTCATGTCCACATTTTGTCTAAAGGTTGTAGAGTTTAACTTGAGTGAAATCTGGTTAGTTCTGTTTATAAGGCTGGGCTCTAACGTACGTTTGTAGAGGATAGTTTGAGGATATCATGTGTGCAGTTTGGTTTAAGGTATATCCAAGAAGAGTGCCAAGAATTTAATTATGCCACTTCACAATGATGAGAAGGTTTCCCTCTCCCTGCTGGTGCTTATTTTCTGCCAGTCTCTGCTTTAAAGGAAGGTACAATGCCAGAAAACACACCCAGACAACCAGGAATATCTTCTGACTACTGCCAAAATCAAAACCAGGCTTCTCTTCAAACTCTGGGAGAGAGGTGGGCGAGAGAGAAGTGGAGAGGAAACGGTTTACAGACGTGAGCAAGTTCTATGACAAGATATAAAGAAATTTTATCGAGAAAAAAAGTGAAGATTTTTAATCCCAAAGCATGCCTGAGGTGATACACAGAGCTCTCTCTTGCAGTGAAGATGCATGAAGGTGAAAAATTAAAAAGATGGACACTAGATGGAGACATCATCCCACAAATCCCGCACCCTCTTGTGTGAATCAATCATGAAAACTCCAGACAGGCTTTAAAACCATAATCCTTGTTCCAGAAAACCTCAACACTGGCCCGTGAGATCTGTTGTAACCTCATAAAGCATCTTGTACTGATACAGTAAAATGCAAAGTTGTGGAAAAACTAAACCAAAACGGAGCCTCACTGCTGGAGGTTTGCAGAAATTTGTAGGAACATTTGAGAGCTAAAATTTCTTTCTTATAAATATCCCTCACAGTGTAAATCACACCCTGCTATGAGAGGGTGGTGACGGGCAGGACAGACAAAGCAACAGAGGCCTGCACTACGGTGACAGCTTCTACCTTTTTATCTGGGCTTTTTTTTTTAACAGGCAGATGCACAGACATCTTTGGTGCACATCTCTTGTCACATCGTGTTACAGGCTGCTCTTTCAGTTTTACACTTGTGATGATAGCACCATAACTCCCACATGCTCCCAACAAGTATATCATGCTGCGTTTTCTCATCAGCTAACCCTAAATCTTACTGAAAGATTGGCAAGAAAGGTGAGGGTTTGAGTGGAATTTTCTGCTTTTAGCTTTCACACATGCGGCTCAACTTGAAACTCTCTGTAGTCGTGAGTTTTAAGTTGGGCATGAATTATTGAAATGATGTTTCTAAAATTGCATCTTTTACACATTTGAACAGAATTGAGAGCAAATAACTAAATATAAAAATTATGGCGTCAATTTTAAAACATTATCTGCAGTTTGAGTACTTCAGCTCTAAAATGATTTACTGTACAAAGTCAGAAAATAAAACAACCCGTCATCTGTGTAAATGGCTTTAAAAAGAAAAGGGATGCAAATATGATAGAGACAAAAACTTGGTGGTAAAAATGTTAACTTTGGACTTAAAATACTTTTAAATATCCATCAATAGTTAAAATTGCGGTACAGGACTCTGCAAGGAAAGATATTTTTAGGATTGGGTATTTAAAAAGGATCAGATTTAGGACTAAGCTGATCTTATCTTCTCTGGGAGATCAAGGAAATCAGCAGACACTTTTTAACCCCAAATTACAGACTATATGCTCCAGCTTACATAGCTCGAAATAGTCACGGTGGAGAGAGAAAACAGAAAACCTTGAAAGTATTAAGTTCTGTCTTGAAAGTGTAGTTTTCAGCATACTGGGCAGAGGATGCAAACGGAGATGTGGTCATGTGAGGTCACATTTTTGTGTTCTGGCTAACAGCCTGTCAGCTGAGTTTATCACTCTGATTCAGTTCATGTTGCTTTTGCCAGAAAACTCAAATTATGCTTCTTTCCTATTGCTGTAACTCACCTATAAATACTGCTGTGCTGCAAACACCTCATCTTCTGTGGAAACTCTCAACACTATCACACCTCACACAAATACACACACACACACACACACACACACACACATAACTCCACCTTTGCACATTTCACCCTCCCACCCAAAGGCACCATCTGCCCTCTGCCCCCGCTGCAGCTCTCGATATGTACCTCCAGTCATGCAGAAAAAGTCACAGTGTGCGTCTGTGAAAGTCTGCCTGTGTTCATGTTTTGCTCGCCGTCTGTTTTGCTGCAGTTCACCTACGTGTGACATGGTCAGCTAGCAGAGGTACAGATCTAAACCCCTGCACTGTTTCCTATGTGAGACACAGCCACTCCTTTTTCTCTCCCCTTCTCTTTTGTATTTTTAACACTTAATATTCAT